GATGGGGAAATTTACTGGAGGATTTTAAAAAAATTATCCATTTTGCTCCAGTAGATCCAGCGAAAATCCTAAATCAATGTTCATAGATCATTGATTGATTGCTAGATCACATTTACGTTTTCAGCTGTATCTCGGGTTCTCGAAGAACTAGACGGATCATTTTTTTTTCAATTTGTAGGTGAATTTCCCGACCTTTTCATTGGGGTCACTGTCAACCACCTCCCCCCTCCCCAGCCCAAGATTTTCCAAAAATAAAAATGTTCCATTCCATTATAAATGGACGAAACGCGATTGGAATATTTGAAATAATTGTTGGGGCGTCGATTCGGACAGTCCTCAGACATGATTAATTCCTAAAAAAGTGAAAGGCTCTTGCAATCGATGCAATTGTTATTAATAGAGAATTTTTATTAACAGTTAATCCATCTCCACGGAAATTAATTCAATTCAGTTGGTTTTTTTATAGAAGCTTCAATGCTTCAACAGCCATCACTCCACTTTGCAACGCGATAATACGAGGCGTCGAAGCTTTGTTGTAGTCCCATTGTTGTACTCTTTCACCATTACCATCGTATATACATGTCCCACGGTGATAGAGTGAGGTTTGAGTACAACAAAAAAAAACAAACGAGAAGAATAAAAAAAACTGAGAGAGACGCTTTGATCCAGTTTTCGTTCAGTGCCGGACTCTTGAATGACGCGCACTTGTCTCTCGTTCTTCTGGGATAGAAAACTGCCGTTCAAGCGCATTATGTCGGCGGAGAAACAACAGAGAAAATACTATAATTTTTTTTTTTCTCTCTCTTTCTTCCTAAAATAAACACGGGGTTTTAAACAAAGAATTGGAGGAGCATAAAAGCCAGGGGAAAATAATGTTTCATCTCTGAATGAGATTTTTTCACATTATGAGGGGAAATAATTATCTTAATTAAATTCATTAGAATTAACGAGGGTAAAAGAGAATTTTAGGCGAAGGCGAACAGGTGGAGATGGGAGTCGATAGTGACCCCAATGGAAAGGTCTATAAATGTACTCTTAAATTAAAAAAAACTATCTAATTTGCTCTTACAGAATCCCAGTTACAGCGGAAAACGTGAAAATGATCTAGTGGTCGATAAATGATCTACAAAATTGATTGAAGATTTTCTCGGCATCTAACGGGGTAAAACGATCTCTTTTCTCCAATTTACGGACGAATGTCCATGATTATTCGATGGAATCAACCCCAGTTCATTTTGAGAAGTTGAAAATGATCTAGGAAAGCAATAAATGATCGATAAATTTTGATTTAGGATTTTTTCCTGAACCACTGGATAAAAATGAATCGTTTTTTTTTCATTCTTTGAGAAATTTCTCTGGCTATTCGATGAAATCAATTTCAACGCATTTCGTCATTTCTGGGAGAGAATGACCCATTTTGTTCCCTACAAGTGGGTTAATTGTATACTAAAAGGACTTGTCCCAACGGAAATATTTACTCTCGACATAACTAGACAAGTCTAGGGTCTTTCCCACTCTCGATTTGTCCGGGATTTCAGAGACTCTCCAATGAGGCCACTCAGACCCCCCCCGCCCCTCCAAAGCAATTCCAATCCCCACGATAATCACCCATTCTCACCCCCAGACGATCTCTCCCCGAGGGTAAACTACCACGCAAAATAACCCTCTGTCTTTTCAATCGCTATTCCCCGATTTTTCTCAACACCTGTTTACTGTCTCCGGGCGTCTGGAAATAAACTCTCGTAAGGTCAGGGGGAGGGGGGGGGAGAAGATGAGGGGAAATGTTTTTTTCTCGAGACGGAACCATCTTTTTTTGGAGATGAAAAATTGATGATTTGGGGGAAGTGCGAGTCTCCGAAATGAATTAAATTTTTAGAGAATTTCACTTCTGAATTTTTCATTCCTAAATTTAATTGAGAGTTCATGTTCAATTGTGACACCAAAAGGCTCTAAAAAAAAATTCACTTTTATCAGAGTTATTAATTCTATTTGACTTGGATAACCTCAAAGTTTACGAATAAAAAAACTACTGAATGAGATACCCGTGATCGATGAGATCATACTCACTGACAACGCCCCGTCACAAACCCACAATACAATGATGAATTTACAGAGGTGAAACATGCGGCAAGAGGAGGATGAGACATGACAACGTCGCATCACTTGGGAAGACAACACATCCCAAAGACGTTTCATCGGTTGTAATTAATTTCTCACGTGGCTGCAGAACGAGGACAGAGACAGACTCAACCGCGGATGAATTACGCAAATTGTAATTATTGTGCATCAGGGAGTTACATTGTGAAAGAGACTTCCGGTTTACTATTAATTCCGTTTTTTTTTTTTTTTTTCAAAACCAAAAAAACGAGCTGAGCAATATCGGGGGTCGATAATGACCCCAATAAATAGATTGAAAAAATTTCCGTTTCCAAACCCTGGTCATGAACCCATTTTGCCCCATTCAATTTCCTTTTTCCGCAACAAGTCAATAAATAATGGGGCACAATGGGATGTTTTTTTTAAATTTCAGCTCAAGTTTACCGATCTATCGATTAGGCTTATTTTCGATCCCATTAAATAATTGAGAAATAAACACGAATTGGAGGGATACGGCATCTTGAGGTCATTGGCACGAAATTTGTTTTTTATGCTCTCCCACCCCGAGCGAACCAAAAGTTTTGAGCAGAAACAGAGCATCCGATTGAGGCACCAAACTCCAAGCATCAGTTTTTTATTTCTCCTCGGAGTGTCTATAGAAGGCCTTCTGTACCCTGCGCGCCTGATCACCGGAGCTGACGCTGTCCAATGCCGCCGGCGGAGGACTGGCGGGCTCTCCCTTGCTCAATGAATGATTTCCGCCCATTGCGGCGTTGCCAGGTCACGCGAATCGAGCAGTTTATGCGGCGGTGGCATTTTTTTTCGCGCGAAAATAAATGAAATTCCTGCGGTTTTTTTTTATTTTGTTGAATAACGGCGGAGGGGGTGGGGGTGAGGATGGCGGGGAGATAGTGACGGCGATGGAAAGATCGAGAGATTTACCCGTCTGAAAAAAAAATTGGCCATTTTGCTCCCATAGGAAGGAAGTTGTGGGGAAAAATGTGAGTGATCTAGCGATCGATAAATGATCGACGGCAGATTGATTGAGGATTTTCAATTGATGTACTGGACCAAATCAATTATGATTTTAGTATTTTATGATGAATTTGATCCACTAGTGGTTGTAATTCACTCCAATGAATTTTTGAAGAGTCGATAATGATCTAGAAAGTCTATATATGATCTATAAACAATTATTTAGGATTTTTTCGTGAACCAATGGGTCAAAATGGATAATAATTTTTTTAGTTTCATGAGAAATGTTCCTGGCTATCTGATGAAGTCCATTCCAACCCACTCTGCCCCTCAAAAAATTTAGATCACGACGAAGAGACAATGAGAATGATCTAGAAATCAATGAATGATCGATGGAAAATTGATTTAGGATTTTCTCCGGATATACTAGACCAAAAAGAATAGTTTAAAAAAAAATTCAATAGTAAATTTCATGAACTACTTGATGAAAAAACATCGAGCCATTCTGCCCCACCATTTTCAAAATTTCAACGGAAAACCAATTCAATGAAGACCGCTATTATCGAAGCGCATCCCCCACTCTCCCCTCTACTGATGAAATTCAATACACGATCGGCCTAAATTCGATATTAGAAACGATCAAGCATCTCGAATGACGGTAGTGCCTCTGTATGTTATCCGCAGATAATTGATCCCCTCTCCTTTGCATCCATAATCACCGAGTGCCATTGAAACAACAGCCGGCAACATCGCATGTGTGTGCAATGCCTCCAGTTCAATGCATACGCTAGTACACAAGCACCTCAAACTCCCATAAGACGCATGTGGTGTAACACAACTTATTAATATTTAAACAATGTAATATTGATATTCTGATTTACAGATATACGAAAATTCATCGCCTAGCTGGCGCCTCCCAGGGGAAGACTGAAGTGTTATTTATGCATTCGGGTGATGAAAGGAGGGGGAGAATTATATTTCCAACCTTGAGTTTCTTTCCAGAATTCTTTTGAGAAATTAATGAGTCTTAGTGTCATGAGGGAGGAAAAACTCGTTTTTTTTTT